GAGCATAGGAGTACATAAACCTTTACATGTTAGTGTTTTCATAACCTTTGGATAAATACCTAGAAGTGGTATTGTTGGATCATATCGTATTTCTTTTTTTTCTTTTTTCTTTTTTTTTTTTTTGAGGAATCTTTGTACTATTTTTCATAGAGGCTGCACCAAATTGCATTTTGTTTTGTTTCATTTTTTCCCCTTTAGTAAAGTAACATTAATTTACAACACTGTACATGATTAGGGAAATAGGTTCACAAATCTGATGTATGTTACCACCACGCTCCCATCATCCAGCATCTATAATCCTTTACCAAAGACCATTGTGCCCTTTCTCACCTTTGTTCCACTCGTAGCTTCAATTCTGCAGTCATATTGCTAGGATTTAGTTTTGGTTTATCTCTTTTGATGTCCACGTACAGAAGTTTCTCTGGGAATATATACCTAAGAGTCAAATTCATATGTACACCGTCATCTTGCTCAAATACTGCTAATTTTATTGCTATTTTATTGTCATAGCATCAGCAGTGAATAGGAGTTTCTGTTATTTCACATCCTTACCAACATCTAGTATGTGCTATGATCTGAATGTTTGTGGTCCTTCTACCCTCCAATTCATATCTTGAAACTCTAACCTCCAAATGTGATGGTGTTGGTAGGTGGGGTCTTTGGAAGGTAGAGCTCTCCTGAACGGGATCAGTGCCTTATAAAAGTGGCTCCAGAGAGTTCACTAGTTTCTTCCACCATTTGAGGACTGAACAAGCAGGTGCTGGCTATGAACCGGGATAATGGCCTTCCTGAATGTTACCATGATCTGTAATTCCCAGCCTCCAGAACTGTGAGTAAAATTTCTGTTTTTTATAAGCTACTGAGTGATGGTAATTTGTTATAGCAGCTGAAACATATTAAGACAATATGTAAATATAAAAAAATTTTGCAAACCAAGCAGGTGTAAGATGGTTCACATTAGTGCTTTAATTTGCAATTTTCTGATTATTGGTGAGATGGAACACTTTGTTTATTAGGTATTCATATTTTCTTTCATGAAAAATGCCTGTTTGTGGTTTTGCCCATTTTTTCCACTGGATTGTCTGTCTTTTTCTTGTTGACCTGTCAGCATTATTTATATATTCTGGATGCGAATCCTTTATTAGTCATAGGTGTGACAAATAAATATTCTCAGTTTATGACATAACTTCACACTTTATCATCTATTGTGTATTAAATTTCTTAATTTTATTGTAATTGGATGTATCACTTGTTTAATCTGTGGTTTTGTGTTTCTTTCAGGAATCCTTCCCTATGCTAAGGTCATAAATAGTAAATGCTAACACTTGCTGAGTACTTCTTTTGTTTCAGTACTCATTATCTGCCTTTACAGATGATTTGCAAGGCTCAGAGAAGTTAAGCCACTTGATCAAGATCACACAGTAAATGAGCAGTGAAGATGTGAGTCCAGACCGTCTGCCTTCAGCATCTGAACTTTAACAACCATTCACATTGCCTCTTTTATAGTGATCATTTCATCTGATTGTAAAATTTTTCAAGTTTGCCTTTCGCATTGACATGTTTAATCTGAAAATGACTTTTATATATGGTGTAAAATAGCTGGTTCAAACTTTATATCAATAACTACCTCAGCCTCTTAGACATTCATCATTAGTGAAAATAGTGTCAGCTGGCTCAGGCTGAAGATGAATTAAAAAAAAAATAAAACTGTGGATGCTACAAGTGGGTGATCCCAGGCAAGATGGGCACAGTGAAGCCCAGCTCCAAATGATGTGAACCCAGAATAGAATTCTTTGAATTAGCTGAAGAAGACAGACCTCCATCATTTCAGTGCTGAGCATAGTAGGTTGATCAAAGGCTCTTGGTGTGCAGTAAAGTGACAGGACATCCCTTGAAGAAACCCAGCAAGACATAGAGGCCATCACAAAGCCCTGAACAGCCTCCTGCTCCACCTACACTGCTGGGACTAAAATAACTCCCAACGCATCCCTGTCACCTTCCTGTGAACTGTGTGGGAAGGAACACTGGTCACGAATCCTTGTTTCAACCACCCCACATGCTAGGACAGTCACAGCAACTACACAGGCATCATGGGTTCTGGAGAATTGCATGTCACAGGCAACATATCATTTGGAATCTATACTAGAGGTTTTTTTTTGTTTTTTTTTTTAGATTTATTTATTTATTTATACAAGCACTGGGTACAGTCAGAAGCGCAGGAGGGTGAGAGAATTCACCAGAGCCAGAGCGAGGAGCAGAGCAGGCAGAAGGACCGAGGTACACTGCTGAGGGGAGCAGCGGGTGGCAGGAGAGGTCTGCACGCCATGTGGGACCCTCCTCAGGTGGCCGGGGAGCAGCCGGGGATCGAACCGGCGCTGCAGAGGCTGCGGGCAGCTTCGCAACCCAGCGCTCAAGCGCTGCGCCACCGGGGAGGCCCTGTACTAGAGGTTTTTAAGGTGAAATGACTTTTTAAATAAAAAATGGGAATGAGTTGAGGGTAGCAAAAAGCTGAGGGGGCTAGATCATAAAGTATTTCATCTGGCAGGTTTGAAAAGTGTGAGCTTTATTGTGTGAGTGGGGATGTTTGGAAGTATTTTAAGCAAGAAAGTAACATAACTTGTTATTTGTTTGTTAGAGGTGGTATGACTAGTGACAATCTGGCTGATAGAATATACTAAGAGGGGTTGTGCCAGGTTTTGCGGGTGATATTCTCCACCCCATCCCAGTTCTTTCTTGCTGGCAGTACTCACCTCCCATTCCTGGTTGGAAATGCCCAACCATTACTTGCAGATACAACATGGGTGAGCAGGTTACCCCCTCCTTCCACTTTAGGGGGAATATTATTGAGAAGATTCTGGAAAGATTTCCTCCCTAAAAAAAGATACATAAGAAATGCCTCCCTTCTTTTCTAAATATGATTATGTTTTGCAACCTGGAATTGACATCATGAAAAAGGACAAGGTTAATACCTCAGGGATGGCAGAAAAGAAAGGTGAAGCAATGACATCATAAAAACACATAGGGTCACATTGTTATAGGACAGGGAGAGGGGCAGCCCAAGCCCCGCAAACCTGCCTATTCTAAATGGGTTCTGCCATCTGCCGCATCAACACAAAACATAGGAGACTTTAATGGGAAGGAACTTTAATAAAACTAGGAAACAATACAGGTAAGGCAAAGAGTCTAGTTTCTAAATGAAGCACCCAAAGTTACCCGTCCCCTCGTGGGTAAAAGTCCATCCATATGGGATCGGCCCAGAACAAGGCCCCAAAGCCTGCTACAAGTCTAAAGCATCTTCCAGTGGGGACCCACAGAAAAGGGTCACAAACAACCGGACAAGCCCGGAAGGAAAAGAGCAAAATCAACATCAAGATAAAAGCTGCCATGGTCACCTCCCCACGGGTCTCACCCACATCTGTGTCACCCAGTCCACGACCAAAAGACAAGCGCAGTTTCTTCACGTGTCTCTAGGCTCCATGTGCCTCCTCCAGGTCTCCTGGCTCCATCCTGCTTCCTTCCTCAGTCTCTTCTTCAGCTTCTCCTCTTCCTGCTCAGCTCCACCCTCCCTTGGGTGGGGCAGGGAACCTGGAACTTCCCCCTTTTCTGGGGACCACCCTATTACAACATTCCCTCTGGAGGTAAATTATTATTAAATCCACTTTTATTTAAAAATTCTGTTATTTGCACCCCAAAGCTTCTCAACTGAGAAAAGCACAGATAATTAATAAGCATTAGAGTCCCACACAAATTCATATTATAGAAAATATAAAAAAAGTATTTTTTAATTCATATGTTGATTTGAAATAAGTGAGCCTCTTAAAATTGGGAATAGTTAGCTACCATATTAACTATTCCTGAACATGTCGTGTGTTCAAGCAATGAACGATACAACGATACAAGATAATATAGATGTCTTTTCCTCTACCAGAAGTGATTTTTTTTCTTTCACTTGCACATTCACTTTAAGAAACACTGGAAACTTTCCCCCTGCTGGGCAACAATTCTCCTTTCTTGAAAATCTGCCCCATGAAGTCCTGACAGTAAAAGCACATGATAAAAGAAAAATCTTTGCATTGTGTAAGCAAAAGAATTCCATGTTCCAGCACTTCCACAAGAAGATAGAATCAGAATCTTCAAGGTGAGAAACACCTTACAGATCATTGGTTGTCACAATAGATTCTGAATACAGGTAAAACCAGAACATCTGGTTAGAGTTCATTAAGACCATTAACCACAATTATCTACCCTTCTAACTCCTTCCATCCAGTAACCGGCAGTTTTTCAGCAAATCCTTCTGATTCCAATCGAAGGAAACGCCAGTCAGCCCCTGATAAACGCTGGGGTCCTCCAGGTATACCACGGGGCATTCATTCCTTCATAGCAAGGCTATTTACTAATGATCTCTCAGGTGTTGTCACTGAAATTTAACTGATGAAATCAATTTAGTCTCATGCTGTTCACAGTATTTTCGGGAACGCGTGACTTGTCCATATGCAAACAATTTTTTTTTTTAATACAAGTGAGAAAAACGACGTATGTGATGGAGATGGAATAGCTAGGTACAGACGGGGAGAAGGTAGCTAGCTGCCTTGGCTTACCAATGCCTCCTTTTCGCTCCCATTCCCTTCAATCAGTGTGGATTATAAGCACCTGCTGGGCTGCAAGGGCTTTCTCGGCCCGGCAGGTGCGGACGCCAGGGCGCAGTCCACGCGAGCCTGCGACACTGGGCAGGTGCGCCCGGGCCCACGGGCCCGAGGAGGCGGAGGGGCCCCAGAGGCCGGAGACCCGGGGCTCCCCGCGGGCCCCTGGCGCGGGGGCGGGGCGGGGCGGGCGCACCTGCGGGCGCGTGGGCGGGCCCAGGTGCCGGGCGCGCGGAGCAGGAAGTGCCGGGCCTCGGCCGGGGGCGAGGCCTCCGCGGCGCGCACCTCCTCCGCGGCGCCCGGCGGTGCAGCCCAGCCGGAGGCGGCCGGAGCGCGGGCCCGGGTGCCGCAGCGGGGCTCATGGCGGCGCTGACGCCGGAGGGCCCGGGGGACGCCTCCTCGGCCGCCCTGGACGAGCTGTCCCGGAACTTCACGTACTGGGCCCCGGGCGCCGGCAATGGCTCCCTGTCGGGCGCGTGGTACCGCAGGAACCAGGTAAGGGCCGGCCGCTCCGCCGCCCGGTGGGGACGGGGCGGGGCCGCAGCGCCGCCTGCTCCTCCAGCCAACTGTCAGGAGACGCCCGGCTTCCCGCGCGGGCAGAGCCGGCAGGATGTTGCCTTCCACACACTGACTTAATCACCCCTCATTTGGGAGAGCGGGGTACCCCCCCCCCTTTTTCTTCTCCTCTCTTGGGCGTCCGAGTCTGTGGCCCTGACCCCTGTGGAGTCATTCCTGGGCCTCTGGGTCCCAAACAGTCCCCCCGCCCCAGCCGAATCCGCCTTCTCCCGGAAGGATCGTGGGAGTGTGGAGAGTCTCCATATTCACCCTGGGATCATTGTATTGTCCATAAAGGAGAGAGAGACAGTGACACCCCGTCTCAGAACAGGGAACTCATTAAGGGCAACCAGATGTCACCTCGGCAGATGCTGTGCATGTGTCCCAGTGTCTCCATTTCTGAGCAAGAACACTCCATCTCAGTTACAGGACCTTCTTTCGCACCGGCCTGTTGGGAAAACACTGTTAGCCTCATCTGCCAGTTCAGCTGGAAATGAACATTTAACGAGATCAAGGAGGGTGGAGGGGATTGAAGGTGCCCATTTATTTTTGGCTTGGTTAAAAAAAAGTTCTGGCCCCCCTTCCTTCAAAGTGCCATTTATGTTCTTTGGAGGTACGGGTGGTGGTGGTGGGGAACAAATCATCTCGATACTGTGGATTCCACATCTTCGATTTTCATAAGCGTGTTACTTTGTTCTTGTTCTTAAATCCATGGGTCTTTTTATTTTACAATGATATAATTAAAATATTTGTTGCTGTTGGTCTAAAGCAGGTTTTTTTTTTTTTTTAAGATTATTTATGCATACTAGAGCTGGGGTACAGGCCAGAGATGCAGGCGGTGAGAGGAGCCACCAGAGACAGAGTGGGGAACAGAACAGGCAGATTGACTGAAATACACTGCTGAGGAGAGCAGTGGGAGAGATAGGAGAGGTCTGCTGCATCATGTGGGCAGCTCCCTGGCAGGCCAGGGATCCAACTGGTGCTGCAGAGGCTACGGATTGCTTCATTGTGCTGTGCTTAGCCCCTTGTGCCAGCAGGGAGGCCCCTAAAGCAGGTTTTTAATCAATAATCAGATATCTAAACCCTTTTATGTCTGAAATATATTTTTGAATGTTAGTATCTGAAGTGTTAAAAAAATTGTGTTAAAATTTTTAACCTAGGTGATAAAAACGTTCGTCTTACTAGTTTTCAACAGGGGAAAGCATTGCTGTAAGTCTGTTTTACCACAGAACATCTTAAGTAGAAAAATGGGAGGGCTCAGAGCCTCTTGATCACTATATGTAAACTATCTTTTTTATGGGAAGTTCTCTCAGCATATCTGTTATATTATGCTTATGAGTATATGTTATAGGCGTATTATAATGTGTTTATGCTAGAAACACTCCCAAAAAAAGTTAAAGCATGAATTTTCCTCTTTGGTTCAATTAAAACAGGAGAAAACATTGTTTTCACAGTAGAAACCTCTATAGTCATTAGGTTTCCTTAATGTTTCCTGGAATTCCAAATTATTTTGGTTCTCTAACACCCGAACATCTCTAACACAGATCATCATGTGATATAAATGTGAGGATGTAACTTTATGTTTACAAGACAATTTGCCTTTGACATTATGTGTTTGTACAAGTTAGAAAAGGTGTATTCAAAATATGCTAATTGAATTATTCAACTGAAATCTCATTTGAGTAAGACTGTATGAACATTTTCCACTATTGTACAAAGATAGGCCTTTGATAAGACTCTTGGTATTTTAACCTTCACTAATGGCATTTGTTTTTAAACAAAAGTTAAAAAAAAATATTTTAATTCATTCAGCAAACATTTTTTTGAGTGCCTCTAGCATTCGCCAGGTCAGTAAAAATAAAACGGAGTAAAATTTTCCTTTTTTTTTTTTTGACACTAACTGAATATAGATGGTTGAAGATGGGGGTGGCTTCAGAAAAAACAAAGTGTGAAGTGTAAGTTTAGGACTTCCACTCTGAAAATTAGTCTTGGTTGCTGGATAGCCACAATTTAATGCTGCTTGTTCATTTCTTCTGTCAGTTTTATCACAACTGAAATATTTGGACAATGTCTATTAACTGACAAACTGGACTCTGTCCAATGAATAGCATTCAGGTCTGATTAAATTAGTCTTATTCAGAAAGAAACCAACTCCCCTGAAATGGTTTCATGTAACAAATGAATATTTAACAGTGATCTCTTAGAATCAGTGTTACCAAAGGCAAAGATGTGTTTCTGGAGGAGGAAATCTCAAAGCAAGTAAAAGTAGTAGTTTAGTAGGGAAAAGTTTTAGGGAGTTAAGGCTTTCCCCTTTTTGTACTGCTTATAAAAAGCATTGATGTAATAGAGTGCTGCAAAGGTACTTTCTTTATATTTGATTCACACATTTTCAGTTTAGAAGGATGATGTTTCTTAGATGGTTATTGAACTTCCTGCTATGTGCAAAGCCCTGTGGGGATATTCATAGTTCTTAGTCCAAAACCGTTCCTTCCAGGAATTGTATAAGGTGATTGTGGAAATGAGCTGTGCAAAACAAGGTGTCATATGTAAGTGTCACGTGAGTGATATAAAGTCCTATTGAAATTGGCTTTTAACTGTAGCCATCAGGGCTGTTATGTGGCAAGGCAGTTTGAGCTGGCCTCTTAAAGATGGACAAGTTTTCACTAGTGGGAGGAGGGCATTTCGAGAAAGGGAAAAGTCTAGGAACCAAGCAGCAGCCCCTGTGGCCTGGGCAAGTGCTGCTGTGAACACTCGTGTGCCTGGAGTAGAAGTCAGTGGTTGTTCTGGTTGCACTGGAATTGAAGTTGTAAAATGGAAATGTCGTTTGGGGTCTTGAATACAGTGATGAATTTCCTGAAGGACTGATTAATAAGCTTGCACTTTATCTTATAGAAAGTGGGAACCACTGAAGTTTTTTGAACAGGGAATGTGAGAATCAAAGTAAATTAAAGAAATGTAAATTAGGGTTAGCAGGGTGCAGAGATCTCCAACTGTAGATTAAATCCAGCCCTGGGCCTCCCTGGTAGCCCAGGGATTAAGTCTCAGTGACCACCTGGATAGCCTACCACCATGGCCTGAGTTCTGAGTTCAATCCCCAGCCAGGGAGGTGACCCACATGGTGCTAGCAGTCCTCTCCTGTCTCACCTGCTGCTTCCCTCAGCAGTGTATTTCAATAAATCCTCCTGATCCACACCACTCTCTGTCTCATGAATCCTCACAGCCCCTGCACCTCTGGCCTACACCCCAGTTCTTCTACACTGTAAGGGCAGGAACTGGACCACAGTGCAGGTTTTCTGATCCCATGCAGACCAGGTAAAGGAGGAGTCAGAGTCCTCAGTGGCTTTTTGCAGGTCTTTTATTGGGGTTCACCAGGCATATGGCTGGCAGGCCTCCCAGCCCCCAGCAAATCCTCACCCTGTCTGGGCTCTCTGGAGTTCTCTGCTTCTGCTTCGGGCTTCTTCTCTTTCGGCTTCTACTGGCGTCCCCGTGACACCGCCCTTAAAAGCACAGTCTTAGCGTAGGTGTACCCACTTCAGGTGCCCGCCATCAGGCATGCACCCAGGATCACAGGGTTCCCTCATCTATCCTGATGGCGGGAGGGCAGAAAAGCCTGATTTTTTACCTTACCCTACATACACAAAATAAATCAATAAATAATCTTAAAAAATAAATAAATCTGGGCCATAGATGTGTCTTGATGGACCTGTAGAAAGGCTTACAAACATGCTCTTTTTAAATAGTTGAAGTTCTAGCGACCCTTGGACCTTTTCCCACAGGTTAGTTGTGTGCTCAGTTTAGAGCAGGCTGTGCTCCTACCTAAGCCTGCTTTGCACAAATCTCTTTTACCTGCTGGTCCCTATGGGCATTTAATTTGCAACCGGTGTTAGAGGCTGTTCTCTATACTCTACTGTTTAACTTGCTAAATGCACTTGAGAAAGTCACTCTGGACTTCAATTTCTTTACTGGTAAAATTTGGATTGGACTAGATCTCAAGGTTCTCTCATTATCTGGTTGAATAAGTAAAGGCCAAACCAGCAAGTTTGTAGAGGAAATAGATAGGAAGGGGTGAGTGTGGGAAATAATGTGAAGGAGTTGCTTTGTTTTTTATGCTTTAAAGTTTATGTGTACTGCTAAATATCTAAATCCGTAAGGATATTGTCAAAAAGGTTTATTCGGCATAGGGCGAAATGAAAATTCAGAATTTTTTGTCCTTTCTTTGAACTTTTGATTTTTCAATGCCTTGAATCTTTTAAGTCAATATATTTAAAAGGAAATTGATACAACTTGGCAGGGAAGAAGGAATGGAAGAGACCGACATTTGTTATGCATTTACTCTGTGGCACTTTATAGCTATTATCTCATTGGAGCCCCCCAACAACCTCGTAAGGTACATATTATCCTCACTGTTCACATAAGGAAATTTGTGTTAAATAACTTTTCCCAAGATCTTAAAGCAAGTAGGTTTAACTGCAAAGCTATTTTTATTCCATGCCTGAAGGCCATTGCTTAGAAACGAAGGCTTGAAAAGATGTGATGAAAGTAAATTGGGGCGGGGGTGGGGGGGGAGGGAAGTAATATGGCTGGTCTCACCATACTAAAGAAAAATCACATTGAGTTTTATATTGCCATTTTATTGATTTTTCTTTGTTACCACCTATTTTCTGGAGCTGTATATTATTGTCACTTAAAGAACAGTGTGGTAAAACTTTCAAATAACTGAAAGACTGAGTAGATGTTGCTGATTCTTCCCAAGAAAAAAAATTCTTTTTTGCTTTGTTTATACTTGTTGATTTTCAGATCCAACACAGCATTTTCCCTTTACCAAATGTATGTGTATTTACTTCAAACCAACTATATCAAAGATTTTCTGAAAAAATAGTAATTGAAATTCCATGGTTCTGGTTAGGAACAGCTTTAATGCGTTTGTGGATTTGAAATTA